CAAGAAACAGTGGTCTCCACGAAGGTGCTTGTAGTATTAAGGCTGTCAATAGCTCTCTGCGAAAGTCCCAGCCAGCCTTCGCATCTTTCGATACGACTCCCTGCACTGATAATGCAAATGACGCTGGTAACGAAGAACGTGAAGGTGAAAAATGTTCTCACAACCAAGAGAACAACTGTACAGATCACTGCAGCTGCTAAGCGGCGGCTCTTCTCCATTGATTTGCTTTACTGCTTTTGGATTGGATTGAGTGTCTGGATTAAACTTTATAAAATAACTGAGATAGTACGCGCGCTCTGATTGGCTGAGAGGAGTATTTGCATGAGAGTATGTAAACATGGTTGTGGCGTCCAGGTGTTTTGCTTTTCAGGCACGCACGAATTTGAAAAAGTTTTCAAGTTCAAAACTCGACAAGTTTACTTTATTTACCCATTTCTTCGTCGGCTGAAACTTGGAAAATCGTTACAAAGAAGGTGTGTAAATTTTTTTCCCCTTAATCTTACATTTTAAGAGAGAAAAGTCCGTATCTTTGGAAAGCATCTTTTTGCAAAACAAGAACTGATTACGCGTGAAAGCAGGGGGTCCCCCCCTTGCGTGAAAGACTTCGTGGACAAGACTTTGCAACTGGTAAGAATTTCTCTTTTGCTCAGTGCCATACAAAGAGTTTTGAGTTTTTTCTCGGGAAAGTTATTTTATAAAAGCAAAAGAAAACTTTTTTCCTGTGTTTGCATAGCCTGCTATAAACGCGGGAGGGGTTGGGAGAATTCTCGACAGTGATGCAAACCCTCGACTTCGTCTCGGGTTTGCATACTGTCTCGAATTCTCCCAACCCCTCTCGTGTTTACATCAGGCTTTGCAAACACGGTAAACGTTTTTATTGCTTAATTATAAATCATGCTTCGCTGAGTTTGAATTTTGTTCATCAGTTATGTCAAATTTGCGTGCTGCATTCCAAGTCTTTCGGAAGTTTTTGAAGTTGGAATTTTTCCAGTCTATAGATGAGGAAGTATTAAGGCTGTCAATAGCTCTCTGCGAAAGTCACGTCCCAGCCAGCCTTCGCATGTTTCAGATCTCTCGATACGGCTCCCTGCACTGATAATGTAAATGACGCTGGTAACGAAGAACTTGAAGGTGAAAAATGTCCTCAAAAGCAAGAGAACAACTGAACAGATCGCTGCAGCTGCTGAGCGGCGGCTCTTCTCCATTGATTTGCTTTACTGCTTTTGGTGTCCGAACGAGTCGCGATCAGTGGAGCATTATAATTCTGTGTCTAATTTGAATGTTTTCTTTTTTTTTTCTGGAATTTAAACGGAAAGAAACTAACCCGGAAATAAAGAAAAACAACCAATCACGATACAATAGATTCCTGCGCAATTGCTATCGTCGGCTTCGATCTTGTTTGAGTGTTCCCAGAAACTCATGAGTTTCTGGTGTTTCTGATGCAATGGAGAAAGATTATATTATTTTTTCTCAGGACGGAAGGAGAACGAAGAGTAGAAAGACAAGTGAAAAAAAATGCAGGTCAATATGACAGCGGTGAGATTTGCAAAAATGATTATTGTAATTAAACTGATTTTTTCGTGTTTTCGCGGGGAATGCATGGGACAGCTATGGAAAAATTAAGGCTGATGATGTGGGAACTCTAACGTCAACTATTTTGATTGCTTTCCAGTTCGATGTGTTCAACGGACCGTGGGTCATTCGTTGGGCATAACTCGTGGGTCACAAGTCGAAATAATCCAGCTAAACCAAACTATCATATGTCGAGATCCTGATCAAACCAGCCGGTTTTGTGGGAAATTAAACACAAAATGGTGCATCAAGAGGGAAAAATCAGTAGAATTTCCCACTAACGAAAAGATCATGAAAATAGTCTCGAACATCAAAAGACTCGCGCCCAACCAAAACATGACATAGAAATCCCATAAACCAGGGGCGTAGTTAGGGGGGGGGGGTCCTGGGGTGCCCGTGACCCCCCCCCTTGGTAGGCCTTCTTTTGAGCAAACAACCTACAATATTCAGGTGGCGAAAACGCCATGACAATATCTTGGCCGTAAAAGCCATTGTTGAAAAGCCCTCTTTTTTAAAATTTGTTTTCTTGTAAAGCATTTTCGTCAGCGGCTCTTGTCTTTAGTTAATGTGGGCCTTCATGCCGCGATAATACGACTGAGCCCGCTGATACACGAGGGAGAGCAGCGGTATAAACCATATATAGTCGGCGATCCCCGGATGGTGATCTGGTGAGTACCCTCTGTGACCCCCCCCTTTGAAAAATCCTGGCTACGCCCCTGTAAACGGCTGGTTCATGATCTCGACATAATGTGATAGTTTTCTCAGTTTAGTTGGATTTTTTCAAGTTGTGAAATTTACTGAGAATATAGGACTGCCGGTCATTTAGTGTTTTGCAACCTTGACCGGCAGTCGACCTGAAAATAGTTGTAAGTGTCCCAAAACATGGTTTCGTTTTNCAAAATGACCCCGAATTGTTTTTCTTTTCTTTAGGTGCCCTGTCCCCTTTTTTTTTTTGGGGGGGGGGGAACCATCCTACTTTGAAGCTCTCTGGTATCCCCACCTTTACTTTTATCGTAAGTCTAACACATAGAAGGGACAACATATAGATCAATCTACAATATAACATAAAATTTTTGGCGATCGGAGTAAATGTCACGTGGTTATAATGCCACGCCCCTTTGAGGTCTGGGTCGAAAATCTGCTGTTGCCGGCATTTTTTCGTGAAAATCTCTCGGCAACACATAGTGCGCATTATGTAGTGCCTTGCGCTGAACAGAGTTTCACCAAAATCGCAAAGACCCAATTCGAGAAATTCAGCGGCTTCCAAATTTAGGTCATAATTTATGCGAAAATGATAAGCAAACTTTACACGATTATACCTAATAAACTATGTGACTTATCCCTTTATTTTGGGGATCGTTATAACAGATGGGTTCTTGCAAGTCAGCAAAAAGCTTTAGGGCCTTGTAAATGCGCGCGATTTCGAGCAAAGCAAACATATAGAAATTATAGTTTTAGCTATTTGTTGACGTTTGTCAGCGTTTAAGAGTTCTTCTCACGAAAAAAGCATTTTCTTAAAAATTCGTCGTCTTTTTTCCTGCAAATTTTTTCGGGGTCACAATTGATTAACTAATTACCCGGATTCTGAATTTCATGGTCATTGAAAAAACTGTGACATTATCTTCCATAAGCCCAAACTTGAGTAAACATTGAAGATTTTTTTAGCGTTTTGGCTGAGTTTGTGCTTTGGGAGTAGGCTTTTGTACATTATGCTAGCATTTTTTCGAGCATTTTAGTGAGGCAAAAGCATTGAGCATTATTTGAGAATTTTAGTGGCATTTTCCCCAGAAAATTAATTTTTTCCGAGAAAATAAAATAGAAATTAACTTTTTTCAGGAGCCCATGCCCCATGAGCTCCTGGCACTTTCTTGCAAAACATTTAAGTGTGGTCGTGTGGATTTGCTTTCACGCCAAAAGGAAACATTTTTCGTAAACAAAAACGAGTGCCCTCTGACACATGCTACAGTTTTTCTTTTGTGACCGTGTTTGGGCAAAATGTTAATGTATAGTCAATACCCACAGTAGTTTACTAAGGTACAACTATCTTGCCCCACCTCCAAAGCCAGAAAAAAGCGCCCTGGGGACGAGGTTGCCATGTCCGGCGTCTTCCTAGGCTTTCCCGGTCAATACATCGGTGACGTAGGCCACGCGGATTAATGAACCTGGGGACTAGGCAATCGCATAACCTTGCGGGGCTCTAGGGAGGGCATTAAACAGATGTTTCTATCAGTATCAGTTAGGCAATTTAATTATGTTAATATGTGCGTTTTCAGCATCTTTCATCTGCATCCTAATGTTACTTATTTTAAGTTTACACCAAGAAAGAACAGATAGAAATTTAGTAGGGATGAAATTAAGAGATATTTGGAAATGAAATCTCATTATTGGAAACAATGAAGAAGAAGAGACAAAGGAAAGGAGCCCTCGAACAGTATTTCTTTATTAGCTCATTATTCGTAAATGAACAAGCTCTTGCGTGTTGTTTACACTTCATGTCACTAAGCGATAAAGATAACACCTTTGGATTTTTAGTCCAAGATTAATATACTTGCCCCTAAAGAACAGGTGACATGCCTTCATAAAATATGCTTTCAGTATAATATACTTGCAGTTAAAAATCGCTTAATATCAACGTGGATTCAAGTAGAATTAAGAGCTGGCAAGAGAGAGCTTGAATTATAAGCCCAGAAAACTAACTCGATCGACAGGAGAGTTGCCTTAATGTTTCTGTTACAGCTTGTCTTATTTCTCTGATCTTCCAACAGTACAGAAACAATACAATACAATAAAGTACATTTACATGCCTAGTGATAACGTTAACTGCGTTAAATTCAGATAATTTTACCTTGAAAGAAAGTTTTAAATAGAGCATGAATCAACAGATGGAAACCGTAACAAAACTAACTCGATCTACAGAAGGGTTGTCTTAATGTTTCTTTTACAGCTTGCCTTACTTCTCTGATCTTCCAACAGTACAGCAACGGGTTTAATGACGAGTTTAAGAGAACCATGCTAACAGTGAAATTCCTAGCAAGGTAAATCGATAAAGGCATCCCTCTCTGAGGTGTCAAAAAGACCGCTATATTATATGGAATATAACAAATACCCAATGTTCCCTGCGCCCACAGTGCACTGTACACTGCCTTTCTGTATCGAGCTATGTTCAATGGAATTGCTTGGTTCGGTTGACGTTGAGCAACATAGTTCTGAACACGAATTTGATTTTGACGCAGAGAGAGAAAAATTTTTGGTTAAGCGAAGGTTGTGGTGGCTAGACACAGAACTACAAAGATGTGTTGAAACCATAATGTTGTAAGAGTATTCCAAAGGGTTGTAGATGCTCCTACAATGGACAAAATCCAAAAACCAGTTACAGCTATGTGTGTTCGTTTCAAAGTTACAACTTGTCTGTATCTGTGCCCGAGCAACAAGGCGAGAAGTCTGTCCACGCTTATAGCGGTCAGTGTCAATAAAGACACGTAACACAAAGTAGCACCTGAGAAAAATAGTACCAGACTCGTGTAATGGCAAATATCCCATCTTCGGTTCACAACAGAAGTTAAGTAAGTCACAAACAAAGCCGGGCTCTGTAATTATACCAACACAGAGATCAGTTATGGCCAGGCTTAGATACAGGAGTTTGGACGGCGGATGAGGCGAAGTTTCCTTGTGCAGAGCAACTAGGATCAGAGTGTTCCCCAGAAATGCTGCAATGGACAGGAAAACGTTTAGAACTGAAAGGAAGATAAGTTCGCCATCTAAACCTCTGAATAGTTCAGCCGAGCAGTACAGTTCAACGACTTTTTTCTGATTTTCATCTTCGGTGAAATTTGTCCGCAGTGCCATGCATACTCCTCTGAGACGCAATGAACAGTACATTTGAGTGTTTTATATGAATTCTGAATCGTAATTTGGGTGAAAGCAGAGTTATCTTTCAAGTCACGTCAACTATTTACAATTTGCAAAAAACATTAACATACAAAAAAGGGTTGAGCAAAGTTGTCTCGGTACTTTTTCAATCTAACTGACGGAACTATGATGAGCCAGGTGTTATGTCACAGGTGAAACCTAAACTGGCGGTTGATTTAAATAACCTTTTTTGTTGGCGGCGCATTGCATGGCAACGTGACATATCGCAGTAATTTCAAGGAAATTCCAATAACTCAAGATTTTTTAAGGTTTAATGTAAGCTTTAGCCACCACTCCTTCCCAATTAAATTTTTCTAAGACAACGTTATTGTAATTAGGTGTATTTGCTTTACGCACTGACCACGCATGTTAAAATGGCTGGAAAGAGATATCCACATGTTTACAACAATTAAGACTCAATTAGGATAACTTTTAATTTTGGGTCCGTTATGATGAAAGGGAAAACGTACGAAAACATCATGACCATCTTAGGGGAAGCAATCCCTTCATTTATATATCACTCTTATATAAAATGCAGGATGTGAATGAGGAGGAATAACATTCCTTCATCTTTAAAGTTAAATGTAATTAGCCAAGGCTAGGTATTGACGCTGGAATTTTATTTGCTAATTCTTCAATCTGTAAAGCATCGCGATCCTCTTTCTAACGAAAACAGAAGAGCTGAGTTTAATTTTGTTCTTTGAGGTTATCACAAGGAGAAGAGAGGTTTAGCAAAAGTAAAGAAGTTTTTCAAGCTGACGCTAACTTTACTTTTATCACGGGGAGCCTGATGAAAAAAAGGCGGTCACCGACGATTGTAGTGAGTTTTCAGTAGTAAAGGAAGTCTAATAGTCGGCAAACGCGTCAAACTGTGTCGGCGGCTGCGGCAAGTTTGGTGTCTGTTATTATATCCTAACATGTAACATGAATAACACTCGTTTCTTATATATTACGGATATGTTAATTCCCGCCGATATTAACACCTGGTATTTTAACCCTGTTCAGACCTGAGAGGTCTTTGGAGAAAATAGGTATTTAATATTCCATTTTCACCAATTGGTTGCCGATTATCTCGACAGAGAACTAACTAGGTAAACGCACGCTGTTTTTAATTAAAAGTTCTTAATCCTTCTTGTTTCATAACTGTTTATAACCACCCCTTTTAACAAAAACAAGCGGGCATAAACTGTCTTATGAACCTGCAAAGAGACAGAAAACTATTAAGAGGTGTCGTGCAATTAGATGATCGACGTACAGTATAATAGCCAACGTGCGATATATTAAAAATCTAACATGACTTCGAGGCTTTCCGGTCATTTTTCTATATTTGGTTTGGTGTTCTTTGTTCTCAAATCTCTCCTGGGAATTGCGGGACAATGGAGTGGTAAAACAAAACCCTGCAGTTTTGACCCTTAAGCCTCGGAGTCTCAAAGTCATGTTAGAATTTTAATATATTGAACGTGGGCTTTTGTTCACTCTTAAAAGAACGAACTATTACTGCCCACCTGCCTATCTCTTACAGAGGGTACCGGAGGGGTTATAGCCTCTGTGTTCAGATATTGGGACGACGACATGAGGCTAGAAGAGGTTCGTCTAGATCCAAAAAATGATCCACTGTAAACAAAGGCCTTCTAATGCTTGCTAGCGTTTTCTAAGACCCTCCGTTTTTTCTGGAAAAATTCAAATGTTAGTGACTGTGTAATTAATGCTCAGGAAATTAGTTATTAAATAGGGTGACCCTTCATCTTAAATTAAACATTTTTTTAAAAAAAGGAATTGCCTCATATTACATTTTGAAAAAAAAAGCGGTTTTTGCGCCTCAATTATTTTTTACTTTACTGATCAGAAGTTTTGACGGATGTTTCAAATTTTATAGCAGCTCAGTACCGGTACAAGCCGCGGGGAAGAGAGCTGTACTTCCTTTGATGGGGGATGCCCTCCAAGCATTTTCTTCTCCGTTTAAACCCGCAAATAAACAACTGAGGAAGCTAAGCACATTGACCGGCATCCTATTTGTTTCTTTGCTATCTATTTATTCAAAAGGCCGTTTACACTTCTCATGCCACTAAATAACAACCATAACAGGAATAATATACGTTTCCCTTGAACATACAGCTTATCGTTTCAATTAAAAGAAGCGGCGCGGCTTACCCTGAATACAATGTATTCACAGGTTAACGCGTTAAATGCAGTTAATTTCACCTTGAAACCAAGTTTTAAATATAGCACGAATCAACCACGGATGAAAAGCGTAGAAAACTAACTCGATCGACAGAAGAGTTGCCTTAATGTTTCTTTTACAGCTTGCCTTACTTCGCTGATCTTCCAACAGTACAACAATGGGTTTAATGACGAGTTTACCAAAACCATGCCAGCTGTGGAACTCCTGGCAAGGTAAATCGATAAAGGCATCCCTCTCTGAGGTGTCAAAAAGACCGCTATATTATATGGAAGATAACAAATAGCCACTGTTCCCTGCACCCACAGTGCACTGTACACTGCCTTTCTGTATCGAGCTATGTTCAATGGAATTGCTTCGCACGGTTGCGCTCGAGAAGCATGGTTCTGAACATGAATTTGGTTATGACGCAGGGTAACGAAAATTTTTGCGTAAGCGAAGATTGTGGTGACCAGACACAAAGCTGTAACTGTATATTGAAACCATGAAGTCATACGACGATTCCAAAAGAGAGTAGATGCACCGACAATCGACAAAATCCAAAATCCAGTCGCAGTTATACATGTTCTTCTATAAGTCACAACTTGTCTGTATCTGAGCCCCAGCAACAAGGCGAGAAGTCTGTCCACGCTTATTGCAGTCAGTGTTAATAAAGACACTGTACACAAAGTTAAACCTGAGTAAGTTACCGCCCAATATGCGTAATAGCAAATATCCCATCTTTCGTTCACAACAGATGTTAAGTAAGTCACATAGAAAGGCTCTGCAATGATACCAACACAGAGATCAGTTATCGCTAGGTTACGATACAGGAGTTTGGACGGCGGATGAAGTGAAGTTTCCTTGTGCAGAGCCGCTAGGATCAGAGTGTTCCCCAGAAATGCAGTAATGGACAGAAAACTATGTAGAGCTGAAACAAAGATAAGCTCGTCATCCACACCTCTGACTAATTCTGCCGTGCAGAACAGTTCTTCGACAGTTTTATGGTTTTCGTCTTCCGTAAAATTTTTTAGTGCCATTTTCCTCTCCGGCGCAATGACCTGCAAGTGAGAGTTTTATTTATACATACTATTTTAATTTGGGTGAAAGCTGATATCATTTCTACATCTCTAGAGTCAAGACTTAAATTTACCTGAACGGGCTATATATACCTGATTGAAAAAAACGTTGTCGCTAAAAAGTATAAACCATGAACGATGAGGTTTCAAGGATTTATGGGTATTAGCAAAGCAAATTAAAAGTTCTTTCGACAAAAGTTTATATTGTCACGAGATGCTCGTGCGGATGCAAATCCCTAGAGTACTTTGTTTAAGGCATGCTGTTGTCTTTTTGTGTTTTCCAAGAACGCTTTTAGGTCTTATCTTATGATTTTCAAGTGTGCGTTAGCGATATGGCTACGCTCTTTAACTGTAAAAATCTCTTATGTGTCCAGCACTGGTGAAGTTGTGAGCCGTAAATACTGGAAACCGCGTTTTACGTTTTTTTGGAATGTATCGTCGCGAAAAGCTTCGTAGATGTAAACATTTTTGAGAAGAACTTTGAATTTGCAATGCTAATAAAGTTGTACCCATAAATCCATTCGGTCCCATCGTTCATGGTTTATACTTTTCAAGCGACAACGTTTTTTCAATCAGGTGTATACGTTAATTTGTCACGTATTAATAAATAATGATCAGAAGTAATTTATACAGTCATAAACGTGCAAAAACTTTTAACTAAACGTATAAGAAAGCTCACAGGGCCAAGAAAAGTCGAGCAAAGTTGTCTCGGTACTTTTTCAATCTAACTGACCGAACTGTGATGAGCCAGGCGTTATGTCACAGGTGAAACTTTAACTCACGGATGATTTTAACTTTTTAGGTCTTATGTTCGCGCGCATTGGTAACTTGACATCCCAATAATTTGAAGAAAATTCCGATAACTAAACATTTTTTAAAAGTTTACTATAAGCTTGAGCCATCACTCCTTCCCAGAAATTAAGCGATATACTGTATATACACCTAACTGCAATAGCGTTGTCATAGTTAAATCAGCTTAACTTGGGGAAATGAATTTAAAATGCAAAAAACAAATCGACATTAATAAGGCTTACCATTAAACCACTATAATCTTTTATAGTGAATTTATTTTCAACATATGCGTGCTGTCTTCGCTTCTACGCCCTCAAAACGCCTATTTGGCTATTTCTATTTTTATTTCCCCTTTACCATTTTTCTGAGGCATGTTCATTGCAATCAGGTGTATTGCGCTACGTACGGACTACGCGTATGGTTAATATATATCCACGTGTTTACAACAATTAGCCCTTGGGGTAAAGGGAACTCGCACGAAAACGTCATTACCATCTCAGTCCAAGTGTTTTGACTCGGTTATTTTATTTGGTAATTCTCCAGTAATTATCACGATCCGTGTTTCAAACAAAAACAAAAGGGATGAGTTTTATTTTGTTCTTAAAAGCTGTAGTCAGGGTTTATAAGCAAAAACAATGAAGTATTTCAAGCTGACACCGAGATGTAATGAGCCTGTTGAAACTAACTCACTGACGACGATTTTCACTAGTAAAGGAGGTCTTGACAGTCAGTAAACACATCAAACTGTGTGGGTTGCAGTAATTTTGTTGTTTGTTTTGGATGTGCGATAATGCGGACCTTTGTCAATTCTCGTTTTAATTTTTATCAACTTTTTCTACAAAACTTTGAGGGAAAAAATTAATTCTGTTTTTAGTCTTACCACACGAGGAAAAAGGATACAGCAAAGTTGTCTAGTTTTTCAAACAAACATTAGTCGAACTATAATGAGCCAGTTGAAGCTGACTTACGGACCATTTTAATGACTTTTTAGGTCTTAATATGTTGTCGGTGAGACAAGCCTGCATGACGTTTTCTTCATTAATATCGCTGTAAGTTCCAATAATTCGGCCAATTCAACACAAGCTGCATTCAAATATGCTTGAGTCATCAGAATCTTCCTAGCAGAGCGTAATCCATGTGAGTATTAACCGAATTCAGATGGCTGGAAAAAGAAACTTGGAAAGGGCCTTTAATTATTAACCAATTAAATTGCTAATTCGTGCGCGGCCGGCTTTGACAGACGTTTGCAAAGAGTTTTCTTGTAGAAAGGAAGTCTTAACAGTCCAAGCATGCCAAACTAGTTTGTTTATAATTTTTGGGTCGGTTGAGATAGGTTTTGATTGAGTGAGCCCCATAACTATCAATAATAATTAGGTATAAAATAAAGATATTCACTCTAACTTGCAACTAAGAAAAATTTTCTTTAGAATTAAGTTTTGATTATAGCTCATAGTGTCTTTTTTTAAGCGAGCGTCCCTAATCATTTTAAACACCTGACTACTTCTTATGTTAATATATGTTTTATAGTCCAGTATATAAAAATTCACGACACATATAGTTCTTGTTATTCGTATTTTTAATTTTCTTTTCCCTAAATTTCCTGCCAACAGCTCATCCGTTACTAAAGCAAAATAGCAATATGAACGCGTTTCGTTGAAGTGAACCAAACCCCATAACCATTAATAATGCTTGGGTATAAAATAAAGATATTCACTATGAAAACAATATTTTTCTACTAATTTTGATTATCACCTCAATTTGTCTTCTTTTAACAAAGCGGCCCTAACCACTTTAAACACCCGCTGACTGCTTTTAATGTTAATATGCGTTTTTAGTCCAGCAAATAAATTCTCGACACACAGATTCTTGTTATTCGTACTTTAGATTCTCTTTTCTTTTCTTCCATCAACTCATAGAGGAAGCGAAATATGTTCGTTGTTGTTTCTTTTCAACCCCTTATTTATAACAATTTATTATTGCTCTTTGCAGCCCCAGACGAAGGATAGTGTTGTCTAACCAAAATATCGGGCAATTAAATAATATCCTATCTTTTGGCTGCCAGCTTGCATTTGCTTTTATGTTTTATTCTCATTACCGATCCTGATCTAAAACCAAGATCCAGCTTTACTTCGCGGCTGTATTCAGTAATAGTTAGTACTTACCGATAAAGTTCTTGTACCCCTAAATAAAACATAAAGCTAGGTTTTTCGGGTATATTACATAGTACGATGGTAGAACTTTTTTTTCCAAAACATTTAAATGTGGTCGTGTGGATTTTCTTTTACGCCAAAAGGAAACATTTTTTCTTAAAACAAAAACGAATGCCCTCTGACACATGCTACAAATTTTCTTTTGTGTCCAATGTTTTACTTGGCAAAATGCAAAAATGTTATTGTGTGGTCAATACCCACAGTAGTTGACTAAAACAATTATCTTGCTACATCTTATACACAACAAATACGTGTACAGCAGAACTTGTCCCAGGCCTTCTTACTATGCGTTTCCTTGGCCCCGCGAACTAATGAGCCTGGGGACTAGGCAATCGCATAACCTCGCTGGGCTCTGGGGAGGGCAACCCGTAGGATGTGTTAATCATTAAAGAGATGCTTTTACCAGTATCAGAGAAGCAATTTTATTCATGTTAATATGTTGAATGCTCAGAAAGTGCTGGCTTTAAACGTCGATGCGCTTTTAATATCTTTCATTTGCATGCTAATGTTATTTATTCTGAGTTTACACCAAGAAAGAAGTGATAAAAATTTAGTAGGGATGAAATTAAGAGTCTCATTTTTTTTGAAATGAAATCTCATTATTGAAAACATTAACGCTGATGACGTCATATATAGCCTTTTGTCTTTATCTCATGAATAAAATGCGGGGAAATCTCATTAAGATAAGGTCATGTACTACTTTTAAGTGGTTTAACTGGTTTGACAGGCTTTGTATCGAGTAACAAGTTACTCAAGTTCCATAAGGAGGAGGAGGACGAGGAGAAGAAGAACAAGAAGAACAAGAAGAAGAA